TACTGCTGCCCTGTGATTGGTCCCCTGCTGCCCTTGTCTACTTTATCTACAGTACTTCGTCTTTAGTAAGCCCCTCCCCCATGTCAATCACCGACATTTTTTTCAACGGACCAACGAGATTTGTTTTCACACACTTCACCAAACCTCTCCACTGTCTGTGGGTGGTGTAAAAGTGCTGCTACAGAAAACACTTGTGGTGTCATCGTGAGAACAGGTGTTGGTGTGACCTCAGAGGGGCGACAGGTGGTTTGGGGTAAAAGTGCGTGCATGTGCGTGCACATTTTTTTGTGTGCAGTTTTTGCCCCTCAGACACAGGTGCAGTTCTATTCTCTTCATGTGTGGGTTTTCTCCACAATCCAAACACTTGTTGTCCACACTAAGGGAGCGACACAATCCAAACACTTGTTGTCCACACTTAGGGAGCGATTGGTGTGAATGTTAGTGTGAATGGTTGTTTGTGTTCATATGAACCAGGACTCAGATGTTACACCGTTATCATCCAAGGGTTTAGCTGCAGAGTGTTAATGAATGAACAACAGCTAAATAATAAATTAATATGAAAAATGAATGAGAAAATCACCTCAAATAAAATATGATCTGTGTATAAAGGCAGAAGGACAGAGGAGCGGTGGCTTCTTCTGTTCAGAGGAGCTCACACTGTCACACTGTTATAATGATGCTGTGCTATTTATGTGGCTGACACTGTTGCCATCCGGCCGACGTACACTGTGGGATGATTTCATGCTACATCAGGACTTATCCTCTGAGACGTTACCCTGGCAGAAGCAGTTCTTTGTCCTGCTTGGTGAATACGCAGCTAAAAATAAGCCCAGTGTGCGGCCGTCAACAACGGGTTGAGAGGCTGGATGTTTGTGTGAATATTTGAAGGGGTGACTGACACATTATCATCAACTGCGTTGAAGGCTTGTCTTCAAAGGCTCCGTTGTCTCTTCATCGTGATTCAGATTCCTGGTTTGTTTGACTGGTGGTGATGAGTTTTTTTTATTTTTTTTTTCATGTCAGATTTGGCTCAGAGTAGCTGCCAAGCCTCTGTCTGTGAAAAACCCACTGTCACGCTGTGTGCAGATGATGCCTGTTGAGTCAAATTAGTCTTGGTGTTCAGACCGTGTGTTAATGCCTCCTGATATAAGTCATCACTGCCATCACTGTTGTCCACTTGAAGATTTCTGCTGACACCACGATAGATCGTTTACTCCCTTTTTTTTGCTAGTACTAAAAAATTACTGTTCTTGAAGATTTCTGCTGACACCACGATAAAACGTTTACTCCCTTTTTTTTTGCTAGTACTAAAGAAGTACTGTTATAGTACAATATAAAGCAGTACATATATAGTTATATAAAGGAAAATAATATATATAGCAGCAAAGAGAAGCCTAGCATGACATTTCCAGTCTACTGGGGTCAGTGCTCTCGCTGCCACGGACAGGGAACCATGGCAACCAGGCTCCTGACTTGATATCCATCACTACGTCCTCAACTCTGACCTTCAGCTCAGGTCAAAGAGGCTCGTCTCACTCCTCGTGTCTGTGTCTGTGAAGAGATCAAATCGTGTGTATTCTCTCATCGAATCTGTTGTTTTGTTAAAATAAACAATTCAGAAGTCTATTACCGGATGATAATGTACCTTTTATTTCAACAGAATATTTGACAACTCTTTTTTACATTTTACTGTTGCTTTGCTAGACTACATGCTTCTTTTTTTGTATCTATGTGAAACCAGATTGTGAGTGATGTAGGGGGAAAAAACGGTCGTTCACCACATCATCCAACATCTGTAAAACCAGGATTACGTTGTCTCTGTCTGCTTTAAATTAAACAGACAACAACGGTTCAGGCGACCTCAGAGGTCAGAGAAGCCACCGCTCCAGGCGATGATGAGATAAATGTACCAGTGGGAAAAAAAACCCCACCACAACAACAACCTGGGGTAGGATTTGACCACATAACCTTTGTTGTGTCTAGGAATGTAAAAAAACCCAGACGTGAGTCGTTTATTCATTCGCTTAAATATTCAGTCATTTATTACAAACGCCAGGAGGTGAAAGTATGTTACAGGGAAAATAAAAACAGCTCTTAAAGACACAGTGTCCGATAAACACAAAACCAACGTTACAATCAGGTATTTACACATGTAAAATACAATTATATACATATATAATAATTGAAATTAAATTTAGAAAGTGCAGAGCAACAGCAGTTTATGTAAGGTCTGTTAACATGTTCAGTTTTAAATGAAAAAAAAGCAGCACAGATGTGACTCTGTTAAAAGAAAAGGGGG